CCCTGGTTACCACACATGAAGGAATGTTACCAGGAACCCGTTCCTAAAATTGCTGTGTTTCTTGTACCTCCTTTCGACATTCGGGTGAAGCTACTACCCTTAGTTCTGCCAAATCATTATCCAGAAATAAGTTACTTCCTCAACAATAATATTTTCATTCCTCCAACAATTACTTCTTGTGATAACGAATCACATTCTAGTTGTACTTTACATAATGGAATGGGAATGTATTCTTCACCAATCCCATTTATTAACTTTAGCTCCCAGTAAACTCTGGAGGGAAAATCAATTCTTTCTCCAGTAAAGGTGACTGTGTTGCTCCTATATTTCTTCCTCAGAAAATCACAGAATCCCTACAGTGTGGAAACAGGTCCTTTGGCCCAACAAGTCCACATCAACCCTTGGAGCATCCCACCCAGACTCATTCCCCTATAACCCACCTAATCTACATATCCCTGTGGGCAATTTAGCATGGTCAATCCACCTACCCTGCACATCTTTGGACTGTGGGAGGAAACTGGAGCACCCAGAGGAAACCCACGCAGACACGGGGAGAATGTGCAAATTCAACACAGTCACCCAAGGGTGGAATTGAACCTGGATCCCTGGCGCTGTGAGGCAGCAGTGCTAGCCACTGTGCTGCCATCTTAGTATGGTTGTAGGTTTAGCTAACCTTACTTGAAGAAAAAGCATTCACCTTCCATTTTTACAGAAATCCTGCGTACCTCTCATCTACGTTACACATCTCCTTACTAATGACAGAATTCACCCTGGGCCTTTTGTTATAGTTACAACCTGGTCTGTGGTGCTATCCTTTTATGTTCTCTTCTCTGACTCATTTTTACTAACTCCTATAAGTCCTATTTGAATGGACATGGCCCAATTTATTACAATAGAAACATTTAAGCCTCTAAACTTCACCTCCACTCTCAGCAATTTCCTTTCTAATCTGAGGAGGATTTCTTAGTATGTAAAAACCAAAAGAACTGCGGATGCTGTAAATCAGGAACAAAAACAAAGTTGCTGGAAAAGCTCAGCAGGTCTGGCAGCATCTGTGAAGGAGAAAACAGAGTTAACAGTTCTGAGGAAGGGTCACCGGACCCAAAACATTAACTCTGTTTTCTCCTCCACAGATGCTGCCAGACCTGCTGAACTTTTCCAGCAACTTTATTTTTGTTTCTTATTATGTCCCTACTGTCCATTCCCTCCCTGGCTACCTGCCTTCCTTTCACTCTCCCACTTTTTATTCTTCTCAAACATCTCAGGATGACAGAAAAAAAGATTTATGGATCAGTTCATAATCATCAGCCATTATAGCTGCTTGTATTGCCTTTTGGCCTTCTATATGAGTTCTGATTGCAGAAGGTAAGGAAGTTTTAAACTCTTTTAAAAGACTGATTTCTCTAAGAGCACGGTAGGTGTTCTCAGCCTTGAACATTCTTATCCACATCTCAAAATTATTCTGTTTAACTCTTTCAAACTCAGTGTAGGTTTATCCAACCCCTCCCTAAGTTCCTATACAGCTGTCTGTATGCTTCTAGGACCAACTCGTATGCACTTAAAATTAGCCTTTTCACCTCATCATAATCCCAGAATATTCCTCTGATAGGGGTGTATAAATCTCATGTGCTTTACCAGTTAATTTACTTTGCAAGGACAAGGTCCAATCTACTTTTGACCACCTCATTTCTGTTGCTATCTTCTCAGACATCATGAAAAAATGCTTCCATGTGATTCTCTTCAAATTTTGGCAAAGCCTGCATAACCTTAAACATCTCCTGACTGAACCATAAATTATAACTAGAACCATCCTCTTCCATGCTTTCCCAAACCTCTGGTTTAGCTTGCCAAATCTGCATCATTTTTAATTTAAATTCTTATTCTCTCTCTCTTTCCTCCCTTTCTTTCTCTGTTTCTTCCCTTTCTCTATCTCTTTCTTCACTTTGGAATTCCAGTTTTTAAAGTTCTAATTCTTCTTGGAATTCCCTTGGCTTTTTCTGCCTTTTGGAATTCCATCTCCAATTTTCTCATTTCCGCTTGTCTGAACTGCAACTCATATTTTACTGATGCATCCAATACAATGCCTGCACCACCTGGCCTCTCTATTTCCATTAAACCCAGCTGTTTCATTATTAAACCTATAATGTCTGACTTCTTAGCTTGGTCTGGCAACTTTATTTCCAGTCTGCTTGCTAACTCTGCTAGTTTACCTTTAGCCATAGTCTGCAACTGACCAAGAGAAACATCTGACCGTTAAAAAACTTTAACAATTTCTAGTGCCATCTTAAGTCTGAGTACAAATCCAGTGTCTGATTACCCACTTGAAGTACCAAACTCCAATTCCAGACCTCTATTGACTATGTTTCAAAATCCCAAACAAGCCCCTAATTGTGTTAGGACATGCAGACAACAGCCAAATCAAATCAACCTTTCTACTTCTGTATTCACAACACAGTAAAATTAAACTGAAAAAGACTTCCAAATAATCACTCGAATTGTTCCTAACCACACTATGTGAATAATCAATTCCAAACTTAATGAATAATTAGTATCCAGGCAGCGGTTTTATATCTTAAATAAAAGACTTAACAATTTATTAAATGTAAAACAATATAACAGAGATAAAATTAAACAATATTGTAAGCTGATTAATATTTGTGCTTTAAACCCAAATCATTTGTTTCCGGGCTCCATTTACAATAAAGACAGACAAGCAGTTAAGGGGTGACTAAAAGAAAATAGCAAAACTGCCCAGATTACTTAAACATCATTGCCGGTGCATTGCTTCACAGATATAAATGTGGACTCCTTGGCTGTTTTTCTGAAATGTTGATTAGGATCACCTTGTTAGATCATCTAGGTGAAGGCAGCCATACTTCAAATTCAGCTTCCCTCTCTTTGGTCTTCTGGAAGCTGGTGTATCAGATTGGGCAGGGAGCTTTCAAGTCTTCATGCTGTTTCAGCAGCATCCCAGAGCCATCTCTCAGAAAATATTGTTAAAACTTTAATTCTGGTTCCACCCTGTTAGACTGATCAACTCTTCCTGAGGCCTCAATTATCATTCAATAATAGCTATCTGCTTGAGCATAGAGTCTCTTTCAGACTTGCCAGGTACTGACCTCATTAACAGCCGACTTCTGCAATCTGTTTAAACACAGTTCTCTTCCTGGGGTTCGCTGTATCTGTTTTTAATCAAGGCTTAGCCTGCAAGTATTCTCCAGACCTGGCCTCACAAACAAACACATCTTTTCCTTTTGGCACAAGCTGTCCCAAAGTTCACCAGTCATTTCCAGCTCATAATTCAAAATTGATAAAAGAATAAAAAGAAAATAATGAAAAATCAGCAAGGGTTCTGACAATATTAAGGTTCCCCTGATCCTTGGTGCTTCCCAGGGTCTTACCATTCATTATGTATTCCTTTGCCTTGTTTGTCCTGCCCAAGTTCATCACTCACATATATCTGGTTTGAATTCCATTTGCAAACTGCTTTCTCTCCACAGATGGAGCCAGACCTGATGAGTTTCACTATCATCACCAATTCAAGGTCTGTCCTGTCCCACCAAGATGACAGACCAACCAAGGTGGTTGATGCATTTTGCCACAGATCTCAGAATTACTATACCTTTATAGAAAGTAGACCACGTCATATGATGGGACACTCTTGTATAAAAGGTCTCCAAAATGCTCTCTGTACAAGAGTCTATTCATCAGGAAATTAGTTGGTTAGTCTGTCAGTGTCAGTCAGTCAATCAATCAACCATTCAACTCTGTATATACTATTAATATAAATAAACATAAAACCAGACCATGAATGAATCTGAAATGTTACGACAGTACATGGTTGTTAATAAACTTCAAAATATATGACTCAATAAAAACCCACCTCTCTGTAGTATGTGTTATGCAGACTAACTTACAGAGGATTACAAAACTCATCATGGTGACAGTAAGAGGGCATTAGAGATCAAGGGCTGTAAGTTCATACTGAAAGCTAGTCACAGCAAGTTTGTAGCAAAAGCTAAGAAATGATAGCTACAGTGGCAGTCACCAACAGTTCAACTTTACAGCCAGGGACAGTATGAAGGAACAACTTCACAAGTATATTATTAGATTTAGATATTATAGTCTTCAATTATTGAACACCTGACTGAATTGATAGGATTGATTCCTATAACACTTATAAACAATACAACAATAAAATATAAACATCACGAAAGAACTGCATGATGTTGGTCCTGTGACATTGGTGAGCCCTTAGATTTCATATTGAATTAACACACCTTGGACTAGAATATCATTACGTATGCTGTTGTAATCCAACTGTTTGTTTAGATTCCTATCTCTGTATTTTTATGTTTATATCGTGGAATGATTAAGGACTTAAACAGAACGTGTAATGTGCAGCTTAAATTGAGAAAACCTTTTACCTTTACATTGGAAAGCAATAATTAAGTGTTGAGAGATCAATATATTGTAAATGTGTTTCACCCTCAATCTGAGGAGATACAAACAGATCTGGATTTTAGATATTTTAGTTTTAAGATTTTTGAGCCATTTTTGAGACATTTTACAAACACCATTTTTACACCCCATAAATGATCATAAATTTTAAAATCTAGACTGGCAGAAGAAAATAAATTCCAACTCAGATGCATTCTTAAGTCTGATGAAAAACTGAAAAAGATTGCAATTACCATTTTCATCAGAACATGGTTATCATTTTCATCACATTTTTATAAAAATCAGAAGTCTCTGGAAACACAAGTTGAATTTCTCTGAATTATGGTTCCAGATGAAAATTACTGAACAGAATTCAGAATTTCTCAAGTACCATCCCCAGGAAGTAAAAATAATAAAAAAAAATGACTCTGTGCTTGGTTTGCTAATATGTAAAAACTTCAGGAAATAAAAGAATCTTTAGTCAAGTGCTAATGAACAGAAGTGGTTTTGTCAAATAATGATAAACAAAAGATCTGAAAAAATATGGTATTTACAAAAATTTGAACTGTCTTGATTCAAAGTGAAACAGTGCAGTGAAACGCTCTGTGAAAAAGTGTTTAGGAAAGCTCTAGTACATAGCAAAAGAAATAGTAGCTGCTGCATTAGTCTTAATCCCTTTTATGAAGAAATTCCCACTTTGACTCAATATTGCCCAACCTTAGTAGTACTTTGAAACTGTTGAAGCAGGCCAGCTGTAAATTGTTTGATATGGCCTTGTTCTACAGTTTCTCCATTCAGATGGCTGTTGTGACTTCATGGTTGCTTTCTTCAGCTTCAAGCGGATCTTCCTTAACGTAAGATGGTAGTCAATCCTAAATGAGCACCTTGACAAATCCAAACCTCTTATTAGAGCTGTGCTCCATCTACTACTGATGCAAATGTCAATTACTTTTAGGGTATTATCACCTGGAGGCCTCCATGTCTTTTTTGTAGGTATCCTTGTGTTTGAGGAAGGCTTTCTCAATGTTGAGCCAATTGCTGTTGCAGAAAGCTAGCAGATACTCACTGTTTCCAATGTACATGCTGCTGACCCATGAGGTTCTATCATACTACTCAGTCTTCGCCAATTGCAATAGATTAGCACTGAGGTCACTTATTCGTCATTTAATATCATAGCTAGGTATCTTGACCAGCACATACTGTAATTGGAGGTAGAATTAATCTTTTTATCCCTCTCCCTCTGTTGGTGTGTAAACTTCCATGACAGTGACTTTGGCATGCCTGGTTTTGACAACTAGCAGTGAAAATGTGATGAATGACTGGCTTCCACTCCACTAACCCTGTGCCAAGCATCTGTTGAGTATAAGGCTGACAATGAGGATTGTCATGCATTTACTGTTGATTTATCCTTGGCCTGTCCACTGTAGCTAGCTAATGCCTTATATGTCAAGTTTATAGGTTCTAATTTCTTGCAATGGTATATTAATACCTTCAAAGGTACTGCTGCTCAACTCCTGTGCCAAGATCAGGATGAGCACTATAGACTTCTTGAACATTATAAGAGGAATACTGCAAGGCTGCACACTGTGCTCATTCCTTTTTCTCTTGGTCGTTGACTTCATTTGTGAGGAGAGTGATGGTGGGTGCAGACATAACCATCCGGTAGTAACAGCACGGATTGACTAATTAATAGAATGTGACCAGTAGTGTCTCAAAAGGATCTGTGTTAAAACCTCAACTACTCAATGGATGTAATAAAAGCCACATTTTCAAGTTTGCTGATGGAAGATAGGCAACATTGTAACCAGCGCAACTGGTAGCATAAAGTTACAAAAATATGTTGGTAGATTAAGTGAGTGGACAAAACTAAGAGGATTTTATTTAGGCAAAATGGGATCATACATTTTGGAAAGGTTAGTACTTTCTAAACAGAGAAAATTTTTAAACAATGGATGTCCAAAGAGACTTAAGCATTCAGGTATATAGATCATTGAAATGGCATGAAATGGTTATGAAGTGCTGACTTCTATATTAGAACTCAAATATAAAAGACTGGCAGCTATGCCACATCTAAACAAATACCTAGTCAGATAAGTCCTGGAGTATGGGAATTCTAGGCACCATACCTTAGGAAGGACATATTGGTTTTGGAGGGCTTGTAGTTCAAGTTCATCACAATGATACTTGGACTCTACGAATTAATTTACACAGAATGATCACACAAACTAGGATTGCTTTTCCCATAATTTAGAAGGTTACGGATGTTTTGATTTCAGTTTTCAATGTATTAAGAGGAAAATAGGGTTGATGGAAAGAAACTAATTACATTAGTTGGGTGTCTAAGACTAGTGGCATAGCCTAAAACTTAAAGTCAGACTTTCAGGAGTGAAGGAACGATTTTGACACAAAGAGGTGTAGAAGTTTGGAATTCTCTTTTGCTCATGATAAAAGATGCTACATCAGTTATTAACATTACAAATAGATTTTTGTTAACCAACGGGATTAAGAGGGTTTACCAGTCTCATTCCTGGTATGGTGGGACTGATGTATGAGATGTTGAATTGATTAGGATCACGTTCACTGGAGTTCAGAAGAATAAGGGGGAACTCATAGAAACCTTTAAAATTCTAAGAGGACTAGACAGGGTAGATGCAGGAAGGATGTTCCCAATGGTAGGGCTGTCCAGACCCAGGGTTAACAGTCTAAGGATATGAAGGAAACCATTTAGGACTGACATGAGGAGAAATTTGTTCACCCAGAGAGTGATGAGCCTGTGGAATTTACTACCACAGAAGGCAATCAAGACCAAAACATTGTATGTTTTGAAGAAGGAGTTGGAATTGACATTTGGGGCTAAAGGGTAAGGGGGAGAAAGTGAAAACAGGTTACTGAGTTTGATGTTCAGCTGTGACCATAACGAATGGTGGAGCAGGATCGAAGGGCTGAATGGCCTAATGCTCTTATTTTCTATGTTTCAATGGATGGAGTAATGGCAGGTAAACACAGTTGGATTGCAGATCAGCGACAATCTTATTGCCTGAAGGTGAAGCAAAGTCAAGATGCTTAATGGCCTATTCCTGTTCCTAATTAAGTGGTAAGCACTGTGCGGTATTATTAAGGCCAAAGTGAACTCCTGAGATAATAGCAATTGGCAATGAGGAGCAGAAGCCCCAAGTCAGAGCTGTATCACCTAGAATTTGTCCAACCAAGTCTAACTGAGTTTTTTTGCTACTCCCAGAAGATCACATGGTTTTTGGGTGTGGTCTACATGTAATGATAGATTAAAAACTCACATTAGTTGGGTGAGGATTAATTGGGTATGTTTGTAATACACAATCATCAGTGGCATTTCATAAATGGCATTTGGGATGAAGCTGCTAGTCTCAACACTGTGCACTTAGCAATGGTAATCAAAATTGGTGTCAATAATGCTTTTATTTCCACCTCCTAGCTCAAAGTTGCTGAAACCAGTTCTAACTTCCTATCTGTCGCCCTCATTGAATGAACTGGATAAAAGGGAACTATCACCTATTCAGTGAAGGCTCTAAAACATTCCTGAAATGTTACACACCACAAGCTTCACAAATATTAAAAGGAAGAATTTTTTTCTCTGGTCTGTTACTTCTTTTGTTGTTTCAGAATATTCAAAAATCCAGAATCTTGTAAATAAGATGTTTTTAAGATTAACCTTTTTTTTTCTTATGATAAACTAAACGAACTGGTAATAAAACGCATAAGTTGAGCAGTGATGATTTTCATGTGATGGGTCATAATTGACATAATAACGTTACTGTACTAGGGTACCATTTCATGCCAGCTGAATTTCTTGAGGTTTAGGATTTCTCCTGAGGATATACTTACGTGTGAAGGATTGTCTTAATTCTTTAAAATATTGTCTGAAATTTGTTGTCATGAAACAGTAAAGAATGGGGTCCAGAATGCAGTTGGTACACATCAGACACAGAGAGATATGATGAGCATCGTTAACAGTTTTTCTGAAAGCGCAGTCGTCAGATTTCCAGAAGTTGAGTACTAAAAGCGTCCAAAGCAGATGGACTAAATGGTAAGGTAGAAACGAAACAGTGTAGATGATCAGAACCATAAGCACCAACCGAAAAGCGCGGGTCTTGAACTTGTTTTGCGAAGTTCTCAATGTTTTCTGGTCAACAGACAGGGTTCGAAGGATGAGGACATTATTGGCAGCGACCACGCCAAAACTAACGACAAAACCCAGCTCCATTAGCATATGTATAACTATTATTTGTGATTTGTTTTTTTCCCCATAACTTTCAAAACATCTTTCATGGCTGGTATTTGTTTTGACGAGGTAATCTTCGTGATTGATTACAATCGGTAAAGAAAAGCAAATTGTTAATGTCCAGATTAAAGCAGTTAAAGCTAAGCCTCTCACAATCTGTCTCGATTGAACTACCTTTACCGGCTGTGAGACGGCACGATAACGAGTAAAGCTGATGACAGCCAGAAAGAAGATAGTATTATAAGTGTTGATGTAGAACAGAGATCCCCATAGGCTGCACGCAACGCTGGAGAAGATCCAGTCGCCTTCGCGATAATAGTAATCAATCCAGAAAGGAAGAAATATAACAAAGAGGAGATCAGCCACTGTTAGACTTATCATGTAGATTTTAGCTTCGGTCAGTTCTTTTTTGTTGCACATTAAAAAATAAAGTGCTACGACGTTTTCCGGGACTCCCACAATAACTATAAAGCTGTAAAATGTTGCGGAAATCTTATAGGTGACTTCAGATGTATGGTAAAATTGTTTCTCGTTGCAGGTTTCCAAATATGTTGAGGTAGTCATTTTAACCGTCGAAATGTACGATGTCACAAGATGCTAATACTTCTTATTAAACATTCGTAGCTTTTATTTCAAGGGGAAAGTTTCAATTCACTTTTTGGAAGTTTCCAAAGATGGGCCTTCACTGTCTTGAAGTTTTGTTTTTCCGCATTGCAGACTTTAAAAACATAAAAAGCGATATTTCCGTGAAATTGACCCTCTGAAGAAATAAACGGTGCAATCGATTCCACATTCACCATCAGCTCAATGCAGGCGCCTGCACTGTTCACTCTTGTTACGTTCTCTTATACTGTCTCTGTCATGTACGAAAGACAGAAGATGCAGGGTACTTCAGCAGTTTTGGCAGCTCCATGTAGAGAATTAGAGCTTCAATTATTTGACCTTTCTGTACAATTCTCGCTGGAAAATAGAGCAGCACATTTTCGTTGTGGGCAGCCCTGCGCTTCTCTGTTCTGTACAACTGTGCTTGCGGATCCGATTATCTGATGGGACATGACGCTCATTATTTAACGTTCAGACACTTGAACGGTTAGTACCGAGAAAACTGAGTAGCTTACCTCAAAGTGCTGCTGACTCACTCGTTGATGAGTTTCTTATCTAGCAATCTTCAATTTTCTGACTTGTCACCGGATCTGAGATTATGTGGGAAGTTAGATATTTCATCAGACAAAACCCAGCTTTTCAAAGTTTAAAAGATGGGTGTGCCGGAATTTGCAGGAAGGGGACAATGCAATAGATCGGCTCTTGCTTTGCTGGACTTTATTTTCATTTGTATTTATACTTTTATGCAGTTTCCTCTAAGGCGGGCCAGTTTTCCATGTTTCCCTTTCTGCCATTTTGCTCAGCTAGTCACACATACAATATCCATTTCTTGTGCCTTTGTGCATCTCCATAATCTCTCATTAGTCCTCCTTTACGCAAATATCTCTCCAAAGAATCCCATCAATCGTTCAGAGATAACAAGGTGTAGAGCTGGATGAATGCAGCATCAGAGGAGCAGGAAAGCTGACGTTTTGGGCCTTGACCCTTCTTCCTTCGCCCAGACCCGAAACGTCAGCTTTCCTGCTCCTCTGATGCTGCTTGGCCTGCTGTGTTCATCCAGCTCTACACCTTGTTATCTCAGATTCTCCAGCATCTGCAGTTCCTACTATCTCCCGTCAATCATTCATTTGTGTCAAATTATTGCTTCTGCATCTGAACTTAAGTAGACCCATTCTGAAATGCACATTTTCTTGCTCCTACAGTTACATTCATTGTTCCATGTTGGATGTTGCGCTCCACATTTCTTGCGGTGTCATATAGTCCAATTCATAGTGTGGGTGTTTGTTGCTTCTCATTATCTCTGCTGAGAACACCAATTCTATGGCGACCCTCTTACAGTCGTAGAATCATTGAATCATACAGCATGGAAACAGACTCTTTGGACTAACTCGTCCATGCCAACCAGATTTCCTAAACTGAAATAGACCTATTTGCCTGTGTTTAGCCCATATCCCTTTAAACTTTTCCCATTCCTGACTATGCTGATCTTGACTAGATCTGATTACCGTCTCAACACCTGATAGCCCTGATGAAATCTTATTCGCTTCTGACCTGATATCCCTCCCAACTCAACTTGGCCAACTCTAACTGCCCCCAACACTCAGATTAGGCAGCTAGTCAATCTACCCTTCTTAACCAATCTAACCCTGACTAGCTGCCTGACCTGATCTATCTCCCATCCTGACTGATACTCAATCACTGTATACTACCGGAATGGGTCAGTCAATGACAAACGAAGCACAGCTGAATGGTGGAACACTTGTGACTAGTGGCCCAGGGAAGGAACAGGCTGAATCATAACCTGACAATGATGCTGCCAGAGCATTCAATACAGGAACCTCAATAGTTAATTAGCTACTGTGGACCAAAAGTTCCAAATCCTAAATTCACAGCTTAAGGAAATTTTAGAAATGAAAGTAAATGAGGGATTCAAGATGTCCAATTAGGTATAGACCAAGATATGACAGGAAAATTTCAGGGCATGACTACTGTACGAGAGGATCATACAGACATTATTAACAAATTAATTAGGATAGGTAAAAACATTTCAGATGTGCAAGTAGGGATAATGTTTGCAGTACCAATGGGTCATGGGTACTTGAACAAACAGTGAAAATTTGAGACTAAATCATGAGGATATGGTTCCTTTATGAATAGCAGATGCACATGACACAATCTTGATTTGATCAGTTACCATCTCAGGGGTTTAAAGCAGATGTATATGGAACTGTTGTTGAATGCATAGAAGGTTGTTGATGGGCATTGTCTTGATGATATCTGTCATGTAGGGGTGTGGTTTACAATTAGTTATATTTCTGACCTTAAAGAGGCTTGAATCGCTCCCAGCCTCTGGTTCTGGACACTGACATTTTATTTAGGATGTAATGAAAAGACAATAGACAGGTGTTTAGGGGCAAAAGAAACTTTGCCTTTATTTATGTACAAAAATGTAATAACAATGCAAGAAATAGGTAATTCAATAAGTTAAGGAAATTAACACAATTGATATACTGGAACCAGTAGTATTTTAAAATACACAATTAATTATATTACCACTATTAGAATCACAACTAACTACTGTAACAGAAAAGACATCAGTACTTAAATACACTATTAATCAGAATTCCTTCTTGTAGAGTCCCAGTGCACTGATACTACCCACCTCCCTCTCCTAACTATGTTGGAGCTTTGAGGTCTCGGAATTGATGCTCACCACTCAGAAGATGCTTTTGAAGTTTGCCATGCAGTTTTGGCTTGCTGTCCCTGCAGCGTGGTTGAGGACTTGGAGCTGTGCAATCCTTTCAGTTTGGGTTGTGACCGCTGATGCGGTTAGGGGTGTATTGGATCTGTCAGTTAAGTACCTGGTTTTCTCTATTTCCTGCTGGTTTGGCGAGCCCGGTTTTCACCTCCAGTTGTGTCGGAGGACTATGGTATCGGTTAAGTTGGTTGTTGCTTCAAGTTATCAGTCTTTATCTTGATGGTCGTGGTCGGTTGTTGAGGTTCTTGTCATTGGTGTTCTCGGTTTGAAAAGACAAAAGCTGTTTGTTCAGAAGGTGGTTCGGCCTGTTCCGTTGCAGATCTCTTGGTTGGCTTCCCCTTCTTGGGTGTCCTTTGTTCCGATGGTGCTGTTGGTTCGGATTTCCAATTCGGCTTCTTTGTTCGGCCTCTTGATTCGGCTTCTTTTGGGGCTTGGTTCAGAAGCTGCTCAGATGAGATTGGGGCTGACAGTTATACTGACTATGAGCTCCGTTTTGTCTGCGCCAAATCTGTAGGCTCATTGTTCGGTTGGTGTTCTCTTTGAGATTATTTGGCTTTCAGATTGTTAGATTTTTAAGGTTGGATGCCGAGGTCTTTCACATCATCTCTCTAGACTTCCTATTGTCTGAGCTGTGTAGCCAGAGCTGTAAAAACCGCCTCAGGGCTAGGTTCTTTTGGTTTTGAGATGATTGTTTCAGACAGGACGTATTTTGTTTATTCCTTGCAGAGTCAGCACAGTTTTGTAAAAGTTTTTTTAAAGTCCAGGTCTCTGTCCAAAGTCGAGGGTTCTGCCCTGACGGCATCTAGCAGGGCATTATATAGTGTAGAAAACATTAGGGTAATTAGGGAAATCATGATGTAAAATGTCATAATATACCACCATACAGAGTAGAGATAGAGTGCAGTGTAGTTAGTAAAGCAATAGCTGGATGTGTAGAAGCAATCTCAGTAGTATGTCCTCATCCAATAAACGTAAAAGAGGCAACACGCAAATTGAATGCTTCACCTAATTGTACCAGGGAGACTATATGGGCAGTGAGGAGCCAACATATGTCATATTCATGGGTAATGGGAGATACTGCATTACTACATGGCAGCAGGAGTTCCAGTACAGGAACAACTGATTATGCTATATTCAGTGCACTTACACTCTCAGATGTTGGCAAGAACAGGGAAAGTAGAACTGGTTAAAATATATAAAGGAGGAACAGTTAAAATTCGTGCTGTAGAAAGCATAAAAGACAACCTGACACCGTACCCAAACAGTTCTCCTATGTTATCCCATTTTTGCCCGAATACCTCACCCTAATATGTGATGAGGCACAATGAGTGTCTAGGATATACTGCACATTCCAGTAGACTCAAGCCTTCGCCAATGATGTTGAACATGTAGCTACTGTCATCTGGTGGGAGAATCTATGGAAGTAGGGAACAAATGTATAGATGTACCCATGAATTTGAATAGTCTCCTAAACACTTGTTATTGCTCAACTATATACATTTTATATTTAAAATACCTGTTTATTGCACTAGGAGGTCACAAAGAAAATGGTAATGGAGATTTAGAAATTGGGGAGACAGGCTGATAGATCAGAGACCTGCATTAAAAGGCTGAGCAGTGCTGATTGTCTGACCCAATTCCTATATGACTGTAAGCTGGATATCTGGCTAGAATCAATGGGCAGTGGCGTATAGAAAGAAAGGACAACACCACTATATGGCTATGTAAGGCTTAGGCCAAGGACCAAAAGGAGATACTGTTAGAGTGACTTTAGACAGTCAGGCTTAAAAAGAGATTTTTATAGTAGAAATAAGTAAAATATTTCAATTAACAAATCTTATGCCAGACAAACCTTCTGCGTCCTACAGTTTAGTGTCAGCAGGAATTTATATGCAATGCTGTACAAATAATATTAACAAAAATATTCTAGAGAGACCTTGGAATCAGGAGAAATATAGATACAAGGAAGTGATGGACACTGATATGGAATGGGGCAAAAAATCTCAGATAAGATTAACTGTTCCCTGAATAGGTGAAGAAGACATTCACAACATTAACCTATGACCTAGAATGGACAACCATTTCTTAGGTGTTTATAAAGCAAGATTAGAATTTGGATAATGAGACATTTATGTGATCAAAAGTGTATAAAGGTACTCAATTTTTCTGCATTCTTCAGATTCTTACTGCAATCTAACTGGAGTGATAGGCAGTATCTCCCATTACCCATGAATGTGACATATGTTGGCTCCTCACTGCCCATATAGTCTCCCTGGTACAATTAGTTGAAGCATTCAATCTGCGTGTTGCCTCTTTTACATTTATTGGATGAGGACATACTACTGAGATTGCTTCTACACGTCCATCTATGCTTTACTAACTACACTGCACTCTATCTCTATCCTGTGTTACTTGAATATAATCATCATAAACCTGTACTCAGACTCTGATGGTTGGTTATTAGAAATTACAACACATAGGTATGAGAGAGAGCTGGCTAAAGTTGTTTGCAAGTTTAGGCTAATAAGGGGAAAAGTAAGTAAATAACTAAAAGCATCATGTTCCATTGTAAAACCAAAATCTCAGTGACAACAATCCATCTGTGGCTAATGAGGAAGTCAGGGATGGTCAGGAATGGTGTTAGTTTAAGAGACTGTACAGTAGAATAGTAATAAGCCTGAGGACTGGAAAGTTTTAAACACCAACAAAGAACAATCAAAAGCTTGTCCCAAAAAATCAAATACTGTAATCTTTGATAATTTGAGTTTTTTTTTTGAAAAAACAGTATCAAGACCAGAAATGTTACTGGACTTGTCACATAAATACAGTGGCTAGAAGAGCAGGTCAGAGGCTAGGAATATTGTGGCAAGTAA